ACGATTCTTTTGTATCATTCTCAATTGGATTGGTTACTCGGTTCCATGTGCTATCTGCTTTGGCTTTGACTACTTGGACTTCAGTGTGATTTTGCTTTCTGGATTTTTGTGCTTCGTCCATACTCATGTTCCTTGCAATTTGGTATCGGAGCTGGTTTGATCGCCACTTACCTTTGGCATGCTGGCGTTATACAGACTTGGTGCGTTGATGATGCTTCTTCGCAGTGGGTACTTGTGACGTCAGGCTACACTAGGTGCACGCCCTGGGTAGAGAGGGGTGCACCGGAAGGCTATTGACGACATTATTAGCCGTGGGATACAGCGGAATGTTTGATTGGTGATGAGAGCATGCTGGTGTGGCATTGGACTAAGGTGGCACTGCATTGTGTTGTGGGTGGTACCGAGGTCATGACCGGTCATCAAATGCAACATCAGCTCAATTGGTGAGAAATCTGTGGTTGGGGGCAGCTATCTCCAGGTACGTTGTTCCCTTACCTTATCTACTCTCTCAATCTCTTCTTACCGTGAGGAAGTGAGTCCAACTTGAGAGTCCTCTTTTGGTGAGGTGTCGTGAGCGCCTACCTTGAGAGACGACAATCTTCCCGGAAGCATACTGGAAGGAGAAACTGCAGTGCCTCTGAAGGGTCCTGGTCGAAGCACTTGGGTCACGGTCACCATGCCAACCCACAGGGAGTAGTGCACGCGTGCGATGGCTGCTGTCCTGTTTGGCACTTGCTGCGCTGATAGAAGTTCCTCCGGGTGTGCCAGCCCATGACAGACGCTCACCAGACCGTCTATAAATATTTCTGGTTGGGAGTTCATTGTGATTCTGGCTGTGATCGTCGTCCTGACTGCGACGTTAAATAATTCCTGAAGAGATGGGGGCGCTCTATAAATCCCTCCTGATCAGCCAGATCACATGGACAGGAAGGCCCGTCGCCGTACGAGGGTAAATAAGAGTGGTTGGGCTGCCTTGCTCGGTGACAACTTGGGCGCAGGGGTGGGCCGATTCACACGCGAAGACACTGCAAGATGCTATTCGGTATGTTGGATGGAGGGGAGGGTAGGTTCTAATTGGTGCTCAACTGTATACACAACCATACCCATCAATCATAGATCTGCTACATTGTCTTTTTGTACCTTTGATTAGTTGGTTGACGGACTGCTAACCTCACAGACAGAATAGTGTAGGACTGTAGTATGCTACCATAGCCAGTTCTAACTAATGCTGCTGTAAGTGAACCAATCAGGGTGCATCTAGACTATGTAGACAATCTGTGTGAACGTTGTAGACATGCCACTTGATTCGGTATAGTAGGATACTCGCCGGACACGACTATTGTTAGAAAATTAGGTGTCGGTCAGATACATCCTGTGGTAGGATTCCACTAGGGGATTCTAGTGCAGAAAGTATCTGCCTAACTAATGAGTGGATCAGATCCTGTTGATGATAGAGCAGACAGTAGAAGACTTACACGTGCAGATGCACTAAGGGTTCCGCACGTGTTCAGGACCTTGGACGACGGAGAAGAAAGACAGCTTCGTGCCGAACGTAGAGCCCGTGCTCTAGCAGCCGGACTACAGGAAGCAAACAGAGCAGCAAGAGAGCGGGCAACGGCAGCCAGAGCAACAGCAATGGCTAACGGTACCAGCTCTGCTGCATCATCGCTTGCGTCAGGGACTAGTGGGATGAGTGTGGGAATGCCAACTAGTTCCACAAGTTCCTTAGGCACTTCCGGATCTACAGGTTCTAGACAGTCTACTAGTCAAATGGCAGGCTCGCAGTTCAGCCCCATGACCGCACGTGAGCGGGAGCTCAGGGAGATCCAGCAGGTCGAGAGGCTCCGCCAGCAGTTAGAGGAGGATCTGAAGAAAGCAACCGATAGAGAAAAAAAAGAGAAAGTAGAGCAGCCAGACTTGATACGTTAGAGGCTGACAAGGCTGCGTTAGAGGGATTGGACGAATCGAGTTTGTCTGACACCCTGAAAGTGTTGAGGGACAACATGTTGTCACTGCATGCGCACGTAAACAGCAGGATGGACTTCATGCAAAGCACTTTGGACCAGATCCTGGATGCATTGACAAAGCCAGGATTCCGGCCACCAGCACAATCGCCGTTGTCGTTAACGGCGATGTCAGGCCCCTTTGCCGTACAAGTTGGCACACAACCAAGTGGTACGTCTGCAACAGCCGCACAGACTGTTGCATCTTCTTCTTCGAGTCCAGTGGTGATTGCTGCATCACCACAACAACCTGTTCAGCAATCTGGACAGCCGCAAGGCCAATGGTATCCAAAGACCCCAATGAAACCACCTCTTGCCTTCTCAGGCGAGAGAAAGGACGAGGAACTCAACACATGGTTGAGGACGGTCCCGTTTTGGGTGAAGGCCAAAAGGACCTTGCCTGAGGACGAAGTGGTAACTGCGGCGTCTTACCTTGAGGGTAAGGCAGCCAAGTGGTTAGATGGTGTAGTTGTGAAGGCCGGGTGCAGGAGACGCATGGCGGATTGGGCAAAGTCATTGACTTTAGACCAATTCATGGAGATGGTAGAAGCTCGATGGCATAACCCACAGGAGGCTCAAAGGGCCACTGATGCCATTAACAAACTTGACCAACGCAAGTTCAGGTCAGTTAGGGAGCTTACAACTACCGTCGAGAGCCTGACCCTCGTCCCAGGCATCAACTACAGTGACCAGTTCCTTTTAACCACGTTTGTTAGGTGTTTACCTGAGAACATGAGGAACTTACTAGCCAGTGAGGCACACACTGAGTACCACTCATTTGAGACATTGTCTAGGAAAGCTTTAGAGGCCACGCTAGGCAATGCTCAACCCACCTCAGGAAATGACTCAAAGAAGAAGAGTCCTCAGGAGTGGAAGAAGAAGGGGGTGAAGTTGATGATGGTTGAGTCTGATGGGACTCACTCAAATCGATGAGCTCTCTAACCTGATGGACTACTCAGAGTATGACGGCGAGGAGGTAGCTGAGGGTAGCACCCTTGCCACGGTAGTAAAGACTAAGGCAGGTGGCCGAGGGAAGGGCCAACCTAGGAGTCAAGGGAAGGCCGCCTCCAATCAGACCAAACAGTCTGAGTGGGTAAAGGCAGGTCTTGATCAAGACGTGTGGCGTGACCGCCGAATGCGTGGCGCTTGCATCAACTGCGGAGAATACGGACACACGCAGTGGAAGT